AGAACTCTCTTCCGATTCCATGATTCCAGCCAACTTTAATCTGCAAAAATTTAAATACAATGTCAATCGCTATCTTCTGCCATTATTACTCTTTCCGCTCATTATTAATGTTTCTGTTCCTAATTCTTCCGCACCCTGTAACCTTTGTGTCGTAGTGACGTTACTGCCTTGCATGGGGTGAAACCGATTGAAAAAAGAAAAAAAAAAAAATCACCAACGAAGCTCCATAGACAACATTTAGCTATATATTTTTTTATTTATAATTTGTTTCTTCTTTGCTAAAAAGTAAGGCTAGTGAAGCCGTTTTTCGAGTTTAACTGCGATTACGATGTTTTTTTTTGCTTTTTTTTCAACATCCCAAGTCTCTTGTAGAGGTGAAGTGACAACTCCCATTATAATTACCTTACTTTAAAAAGTATTTTTAGAGGTCAAACAAAGACAAGACTAATCGGAACATCGAATTTCAGGAAACTATCATTGGGAAATATTACACTGGAAGATCTAAACATCAACATCAGGAAATAAGTATTTAGCACTTCATAAGCAACGGATACATAATCATATATGCAGGCAGAGAGAAAAAACGAAAGAGGAGTGGGACTAATATTAGACAAGGTCATGAAGAAATGTGCTTTGGGGATACTGGCAATTGTCGGACAGAGTTTATTTTCTTTACTGAAATTGAAAAATGAAAGCCCTTTAATACGTTCCAACGCCACAAAGTACACAAAAGAATTAGTTAAGTTTTATAGCACACAGGAATTAGTGCTAATTGCAAGAAATTACCATCATCATTGGAGAGCTAAATGCAAAAGTAGGAAAGGAAAAAGGCAGTGAAATAGTAGGCTGTGGTCAAAAGTTAGCAAATCTGTTTTGGGACGTAATTTCAGATTGGGCGTTTCTTCCCTCTACACCGGTTTCTTGGTATTTATCGCTGTTCTCTTTCCTGTATCCGCTTCGTCGTTCGTTCCTCCTATCACAACTGTACGTACAGCGATAAATAGAAGAGCTATCTCATCTCCACGATAATGGGGAATCACCAATCACTCGCCCGGATGATAGACATACGGGCACCTCAGAATAGAGCACTAACACACCCCGATGTCCCACCTTGATTCCGTCCAACCACGCTAATATTATACACAGTTGCTAATGAATCAATTTCTTGTGGACAACAAAGAAAATGGGTCTCTTGACGGAACGGCGCACTCGCCTTCTTTCAAATCGAAATCCTACATGCCAGACAAAGACGAATTCTTTCGTCGAGAATAAAGCAAGTCCTGTTCACCGTTTCTACCATTCGACTCTCGTTCTGGTTCACTATGTCTGCCACATAGGCAATTGTGAATTTGGATCCTGTATACGAACGAGAAGAAAATGAATCTAGTGAACAATCAATTAATGACTAATACCTGGTTTCAAGAACACCCGCTTGTTGACATGGAAAAACCAGTGTGAAACGAAAAGAACCAGAGAAACTACTTAACAATCAATAAAATTCAGAACTATAATGCTACACTGTAAAACTTATTCAAGCGCTAACAGTGGAGGTGACTATTTCTTTTAATATTATGCAAACTGATTAAAATTATGAAAGTGAAAAAAATCCAAAGCAACACGGAAACTATAGTACAACCAATTTTAGGAAGCCTGTATCTGCAATTAGATATATACTGATAGAGTTAAGAGAAAATATAAAAGCTTACAAGAGGTGAAACACCTCAATTGTAGGCAAAATATGAATGGCTTAAGAAGTTTGGAGAGAAACACCGCTGAATATAGGCGTAGCTGGTATACATAATGCGACAAAAGAAATAACAGGATAGAAGACAGGTTAAACAATAGTATGTATAAATTCCAAAAAGGAAACGTATATAGAAAGAGAAGAGATACGTGAAAGACGGAACGAAAGACAACAAAGGTAAGAAACCAACAATGCATAAAATCATGGAAGAACCTGCATTATTAAAATGCGAAGGTAATCGACACTTGTCAAGATGAACAAAAAACAAAACAGCAAGACCAGATGGGATTGTAATAGACATGCTATCAGCCTTAAAAGAATTCGGGATCAACAAGAGTAATGAAATGAAATAAAATATACGACAGTGGTGATATGCTGGAAGACCTCGGTAGATAAACAGGCAATCAGCTTAATGAACAACATAACACTAAGCTCATAATTAGAATTCTAATGAATGGAGCACGTAGTAGAATCAAGCCGTAAATAGATTTAAAAAAAAACTATGTGGCTTTGTTCAAGACACTGGAACAAGAAATGTCATCTTTATGATCAGAGTAAGCAATGCAAATGCAAAAAGAATAATATCTGTTTCATAGATTACGTAATAGCATTTGATAAGATACAGCATAAAACCTCTTTAAACTGCGAGGAAAACATCCCTAACGTTTACTGCGAGGAAAACATCCCTAACGTTTACTGCAAACAAACTGCTTACGTGTGATAAAAGTACACAAAATAGAAAGACAAATAAGACAAGGATGCATTTTTTTCTTTTTCAACGTATACAGAGAAATGCACCCAAGAGAACTAGAAGACATACCAAGTACCAGGATTTATTATCGGCGGGCATAATCTTAACAATATACACAGATGATAATATGTTGATGGCAGGCTTAGGAGGAAAACTGCATGAACTCTTGCAAAGGAAAGCGAAAAGAAAGAAATAACTACAGGACGACAGAATGCATGGTCGTTAGCCAAAGGTGTGAGCTACGAACAGGAGACCTCAGAGTCAAGGAGGTACAGAAATTTTGACTGGGTAAAGGACGACAGAAAATGTGACAAATTTGAAGGCACATTGGAACAGTAAAAAAAAAAAAAAAAAAAAAAAAAAAAGGCCTTCAAGAAACTAAACAATATTGTTGCCACATAGCTCGTGGTGCTTCTGCTATGTATATAGAGAAACTTGATAAAATCCAATGAATCTGCAATGTTATCGATCCTGATCTGGAGTCTCGGCTTCAGTCATTTTTCCACTGCAGTAACGTAGCTTCCCTGTCTCTCTTCTATAAATACCTTCATGACGATTATTTTCATGAGCTTTACTGTTTGCTATCGCGACTTCATGGATTTTAGTGTAGTACTAGATTGGCAATTAGGTCTCATCATTTTACTATCGAAATTACTAAGTGAAATTGTAAGTTTTATTTTAATAGTTTCTTCGCTCGCACGTCCCACCTGTGGAAATTACTTCCAGCTTTTTGATTTCCTGTCAAAAAAAATGCAACGTCAATCATCGTCATCCCTCTTCTCGAATTCAGTTCTTTTTATTGTCCTCTCTCTTCAGTCAAGTTTTCTCAATTTCCTTCACCTTCAGTAACCTTTTCGCCTTTATCGCCTTGCTTGTGATGAAATGATAAAAATGTATTAAGAGATAAGAAAATTTCGTTAGAAACAAAGAAAAGAGTGCTTAAAACAGTACTTACACTTATCGAAAGAGTTTTTTCCACCTACATGGCTAAATGATAGGCTTCGCACGATTTTTTAGCCTCTAATCGAGATTGGTTTAATTTTTTTTTTTTTTATATAATAAATATTTTCAGGACCCAATATCGTGAAATCTCGGACCCTATCTTCCTCTTTCTTTTCAACCTAGTATGCGGCAAGTAGTAAAATTAACACTCTTAATCCACCCTGAAGATGCATTTCCACCGAAACTGCCGGGACTGTTTCACTCACCCACACTCTTAATTTCCCCAAATTGTAATTTTTGTGAAAATATTTTTTTAAGCAGTGGAAGGTTTGTTTATTTTCCATTTAAATATGAAAATTTTTGTTGCGCTAAAAGCAGTATCTGCAACAAAGCACTCGGAATACAGACAACTTATGATGGTGATTTAGACGACGGGACAGGAGGAAGTCTTGCGAGGCAACCGCCTTACTCATCAGGATCTGATCCGATTCTTTGAACATCAGCTCAAGATGAAGATTAGAACTGATAGAAAACTGTTGGTCTCGACAGACTTTAGCGAAAGGTGGGTGGGAGGGACTGAGGTGAGCTTGATTCGTGTGAACGGCGCTAGCTTAGATTTTTTTTTTTTTTTTTTTATAGGTCTACCTAATTCACGTCGGGGTGGTTTCCTGTGGAATCCTCACCTGGTTAAGATAGACAAGCTTCGTGTACCTAGTTAGTGTTGTTCCCGGCTGTATCCAAGTTGAGATTCCAAACCTCCCCAGTTTGTTTTTTGGCACACCTTTTCATCTCGACTGGGTTAACTTTTACTCCCCTTGTCCGTATTTATCCCCCCTCTTTCCCTCTCCCGTAGCGAGAGAACCACTTGATTTTTTTTATAAGGGAGAATACAGCGGCCTCTTTTTTATTTGAGGGCTGGACGGGACCTACTAAGATTAGTTATCTTTGTTTTGATATTTAGTTTGGTTTTGGGTTCATCACTTTCCCTTTCATTGTAAATCATCCATAGATTTTTATGTATGAATTTTTTATGTCATGGGGGTGCATTTTTTAGGTTCCCCGAGAGTATGCGGCATTGTGGAGAATTAATTGGTGACGGAATGAGTTCTTGTGGTGAATGTGCAAATTGTAACGAGTGAATGGACCATGAATCGGATTAGGTAGGTATAAGATAGTGAAGACAAGCCTCAACCCATTCCCCCTTTTCGGTCTTGTGCTATAATTGTATTTTATACAACAAATCTCAATACAGACAACTTATGTCCTAACTCTTCCTCCAAAACCAGAAAATTGGTCCGAATCGAAGAGAAAATTAAATTTGATTGATCGATACGTCTTCTACGAGTTATCAACCCTTTGCAGGTTATTTAAAGCCAGAAAATAATTTTAGATTGTAAGAATTTTTTTGAGATAATAGTTTAGAGATAAAAGTTTTATTAATTAATCCATAACTGGGGGGAGGAGGAGGAGAAGAGGTAGATTCCTGCCTTTCCCCAAATTCGAACTCGACTCTCCGATTAACAATTCTGAGCCATTATTCATTACACCACCCGCACATCTAAGCTTACAGTACCTGATATTCTCAAGCGGTCACCCATCTAGGTATTGACCAGGCTCGATGTTGCTCAACTTCACTGATCGTACGGGAACCGGTGTTTTAACATGATGTGGCCATAAGCCTAAAATTAATGAAAAATATTAAAGAGCTTTCGTTGGACTTCTACAAAACCTGTATAAATGAGAAAGTATTGGCCAAAGATACCATATTTAATTTCATTTATTCATTAATCGATTTGAATAGCAAATTCCCATCGTTATTTTGTTGTTATAAACTACCCACCAAACTAAAAATATATCATTGATTCGCGGGGTGGATAGAGGTCACTATCATTCTCTATTCACTTTTTATTTATTTTCAACTTTATTTATTTTCAAAGACAATGCTATAGAACCCAGTTTGTCCTATTTACCTACAACTGGAGGGTAAAGAGCTGGATGCATCTCTTTCCCAAGAAATGCATCTCTTATGAACTCGACTGGAATTCGAACTCGGCTCTTCAATCCCTCAATCGGAGCCGCAATCCATTACTCTACCGTGCATCCTAATAATATATCAACAGGCGTGCAATATTCATAAATTATACCGCCTTCAATTTTTTTCACAAACAAAATCTTTTTTCTTTCTTTACAACGAAGCCATATCACGTTGAAACGCAAGTTCTCGTACGATCACCGAAGTTAAGCAACGTCGAACCTGGTCAGTACCTAGATGCTAGAAACTAAGACGTGAGGGTGGTGCAATGAATGACGGCTCGGAATTGGAAATCGGGGTGCCTACATCCAATTCCAGTCGAGTTCATTATATTCACTTACGTACAAATACCTTTGAGAAGGGGAAGAGGTGAATTCATGCCTAAGTCATGAGTTAATTAATAGGACCTGTATCAGTAAATCCTTATCTCTAAAAAAAAAAAAAATCTAAAAATATTTTCTTTGTAAATTACCCGCAAAAGGTAGATAAACCATAAAATAAAACACAAAAAGTCAACCTTTACAACGAAACATTGATATATTTAATTAATGACAAGTACCCTCTACTGTCACCAAACAACATTTCTCAAAGTAAATAATTATTGAATTTTAACAATATCTTATTTCAAAATATCAGACAATGACTCTTTATTGAAATGCTGATAATACAAAATAACCCAAGGGTTGTTTTTAGGATTTTACAAAACTTTTGTTTTATCTAAAAAACGAAGGCACTTATAAAAACAGAAACGTATAAAATGTGCTTGATTACTTAGCATGGACGTAGTACGCATGCGTATATAGAAACCATGCAAGTTGAAGCATGTATCGTGGTGGTGGTGGTGGGGGGGATTCGAGAAGCTAAAATCCTTGAATCGCCAAAAGCTTGAGGGCTCTTGTTTTGTTTTATCTATAAAGTGCACTTGTGTATTTTTTTTTTTTTAGATTAAAATTTTAAATGAATGGGAAGAATTTTTAACAGTGGGACACGAGGGAAATTAAAGTTAATTTGTTATGCTTGTCTGCCATGCAAAATAGGATTGCCCGTGAGCTAGATACTAACAGGTCGAGATAGAAAGTAGGCTTAACGAGATAGATGCCAACTCGTTAAGACGTTCAAATTTCGATCAGCATGCACACACACACAAATATATATATATATATATATATATATATATATATATATATATATTTTGAACAATAATAAAAATAAAAAATTAAAATCATTAGACACACTGGGTTGTAGATTAATATTCTTTTTTTTTTTTTATTATTATTATTCCATTTAGATTCCTCGACTAGTTTCGACCGAAATGGCCATCATCGGGAGGAGAAATTAAATATTTCTGCTTGCTGTTAGCAGTGAACTACAGAAATGAATGTCTTTTGTTGGAGAAAATGAACTTTTGTCTGTAGTTTTCATTTGTTTTTTTATTTTTTTATCTTTTTCACATGAATCTTTTAACATTCCTTGTGTTGGTCAAACAGTCTCTTAAGTTGTTATTTGAGATAAGAACTGGATAGATACATTTTATCCTGAATTCTCTGGTCAGTTTGACAGTTTTATTGGACCTGGTGAGGGGATGTGTCTCTGTTTAGTGTTTGTGTGTGTGTTATTTGGTTCTTAGGGAGTGAGTGAGTATGATATGTGTAAGCGTGTGTATTGCTGTAGGTGTGCGTTATCATTTGGCTCATTAGGGAGTGAGTGAGTATGGTGTGTGTATAATCGTGTGGGTGAGTGTATAAGTGTGAGGCCTCCATTCCTCCGTAAGCATGTCTGTCTTGTGTGGGTGAGAAATGTGGGTAGGTTTTGATTTGTTGATTGTTACTATTATATATTGTTAAATTTATGATTTAGCCCGGCTGGGAATTGTGTTTTTAGACGTTGTATCCACTTATTTTCATGGGACACTAAAATCTTTCTAATGTTATCTGCTCTGAACTTTTCTATTCTCTCAATTATAGTGAATCTGGCATGGGCTTTGAAATCGTGTTTTTCTAGGCGGAAATGTTGTTCTACAGGTAATAATTGTTCATAGGGAGTCGATTTAATTCGCTTACGATAATTATTAATTCTGTAGTTAAAGGGCCATTCAGATTTTCCTACATATTGTTTCTGGCATAGTGTGCATTCTAGGAGGTAAATTATGTTTTGACTTCTACAGTTAGAATCGTGGTAGATTTTGAAAGTAGATTTAGTGATTGAGCTAGTGAATGAATTCGTGTTTTTAATATGGTTGCAACATAAACTTCTTTTGTTGTTACATGGTTGGGAAAATCCTGTTGTTTTTGTTCTCAGTTCCTTACGGATTACCTTGTCCCCTGAAATGTAGTTACTACCTATGATTTCTTTTAGGTTCTTAGGTCTACGATATGCAAGTGACAAGTTATTGCGATTAAGCTTTTTATTTAATTTGTCTTGTGTTCGTACAAGCGTTGGGATACCAAATGCAATAATTAGGTATAGAATAATATAAAAAAAATCTGAATAAATATAATAGTAATAGTAATAGTGAACAAGAATTTTCAGGAAGTTTTAGCTCGATAATCTTACGGAACATTAACCTGGCATGTTGTCATTAATTTACATCAGTTAAGTAAATCCGTAGACACTTAACCACGTGACTGAGTTGACTTCTTGGTAATATCGGTCGGGGGCGACGATCCCTGCATTCGCCATCGTTGGAAGGGTCTGAAAACCGTACAACGGTTGACTCGAGCACACATTTTTTAGAAACTGTCCAAAAGTTCTGCATGTCGGGGCGCTTTCGGCTATACTTTTAGCCATTACCAAGGATGACTTTATTTTTATTTTTAAGTGAATGTATTGGTTATGTATGTATCTAGCATTGAGTGTTGTGTTTTTTCTTTATTTTATTATTCGGGCTTCCATTATTTTTAATTTTTTTTTCTTTTCTTTTGCTTGTTGATGAGGTTATTATGCTTGTATTTTCGACTAGTATATTTCGGATGGTGGGTTTTTGTCCGTGTTTAAATGAGTCTTAATGGAGCTGTGGTCGGATAGGTGAAACGTAAGTCGTCTGGAGAGGCAAGTAGTGTGACCAATGTAATTATTTATGAGCTTGGTTTTACCAGGAACACAATTCTTTAAGGGGCATTTGAACTTGTAAATAATGTTGGTTCTTTTTAGTTTTGATTTTGCAGGGGTGTTATTTTTTGATAAAGGATTGAATGTCTTATTTGTGGCAGGAGGAAAAATTAGAAAAATATTAAAATTAAATGAAAAAAAAAAAAAAAAAATGTTGGGATGAACGTATGCACGGAAGTACGTATTATCACGCTTCGAATCTAGCTAATAATAATAATAACACCACAAATATGTAAATTAATGACACTACACGGTTTAATTTTTCAAATATACAGAGTGCGATAGATAAATTGTCGTCTACATTATGCAAAAATGAAAATAACACTGGCATCTAATTTTAACAGATATATTTACCAAAATTACACAAAAAAAATCGCCATTGACTGCAACCACGGCTTCCAGACGACTTCGGAATCTCTTGCAACTCTTCTGGGCGTTCGCCTTGTTTAGGTTGGTGAATGCTGCCATAATCCTTGCCTTCAGTTCATCTTTGGTGTTATAAAGAGTTTTGTTGGTCTATCGCTCAACTGCGCCCCACATATAATCTAGGAGGTAGCTAGATGTATAGGGATGATGTGGTCGCAGAAATTGTCTGACAGTCTACTTGTGCGGCATGGTGCAGACTCCTGTGGCCAGACATAGGGTCTTCCAGCAGCCACCCTCTTGACCCAGAACAGTGCGACCTCTTCAAGGCGCTCCATGTTGAGTTTGAGGCCCTCCCCAACAAATTCGAGAGTCTTTTTTTTTTTTTTTATCAGAACTAGTGAGTTTTCCGAGATGACGTACATTCGTGATCACCATTAGACTCATTTAACTTTTTCCGAATGTTCTCCACTGCCCTCAGATTGACACCCAGACTCTTTGAAATGTTCATATTGGAGCTTCTGGTTCGACAGCCAAGCAGTACAGCATGCCGTTTCCAAATTTCTGGCAGAGTGAATTGCGTCATAGTGCTCTTTTTCTAACAGACAATATCTAACAGACCCTACTATACAACCGACAAAAACGAGGAACGCGCATGCACGAAATTAAGAATATAAAATGGCGCTGCATCAGTGAGAGATTAAGTTTTTTGTTTTTTTTTACTTCCACAAGCAGCCTGGGGAGTTAGAGAATGACAATACAGAATCGAGTAGTTACTTCGTGCTTTTTAAAATAGTTCTTATAATTTATTGAAATGTGTGTGTGTGTGTATATATATATATGAGAGGTGTGCGAGTTTGAGAGAGAGAGTGAGAGCAGACTAAAATAAACAGATGAATAGTCGCACACAAGAAGAGGTTTGTGTGGTGCGAAAGGAGAGAGAGTTGAAGGTCGGCGAGATATTCGGCATGATTAAACTAAAATAAGCTGTACAGGGAATTAGATGTGTAGATACGTATAAAAGTGGAGGAAAGAATTGCATGTAGAATATGGCAGATAACTTACGAAGACAGATTTTCTTTTTTAAATATTAATGTTCATCCAATACAAGACCAGAGAGAGAGAGAGAGAGAGAGAGAGCGCGAGAGAGAGAGAGCGCGAGAGAGAGAGAGC